TGTTGTCTGTTGTTAGTTTCACAAGCAAACTTGCAACTTATAAACTGAATAAAAAATTATTATTTGGTATGTTTTCCAGTGGATAATGAGTGTTGCCTGCTACCTATACTTATCGACGTTTGTGAATCTAGCTGCCTTTGTTATATATTCCCGCACTCCAGAGTTCATATCCTGAGGACTAACTGGCAACTGCAAGACGTACGTTAAATTATAGATTTAGTAGCTTATTTCACAACCAAATCCAGTCAGTTAAGATATCTAACTAACTAAATCCTGATATCTGAGCCCAAAACATGGTTTGAATCGACCAAGGGAAAACTTATGTCAATACATGGATGTATAATTATATTGTCCAAAACGATAACTTTTCAAAAGAATAAATGTTTTGAAATAACGTCACTTCCTACCCTGCTGCTACACGTTCATCAATATTTCTATCGAAAAATCTGACTATTGCTTGAGGAAATTGTGATTCAAAGGGCGAATAAACTAAGCAGATAAGATGGAATCCATTCGAACTAAGATTGTGGTAGTGATGAGTCTACTGCTGGCTATGATATGAATAGTCCATTGCGATATGAGGCTGTATAATTGAAGGTTGAATGTAGGAATTTCACCTTAACAATGGGTGAAGACTTGAGGGGATCTGTGATATTCAGTGTAATTGCTGCATGCTTGCTGAGTATGGTTTCCAATCACATCTGTTTGTGAAAATACGAATTTTGGACAAAAGCGAAAGAAAGTACATAATATGGCCATACTATGGTAAATGAGTGTCCGTAATGTTGTCGAATACAAAGACAATGTTGAAAGTTCTGGATAACCAGTGATTAGGTTAAACGTGAATTCTTTTTGTCGGCATCTTCAAGAATCACACGGTGGCACTTTGCTAATTCATTTACAAAATCCATTCCAGAGTGTGAATAGGATTCAGTGTTCCCATTCCTGAAAATGCTATTGACAAAAACACCTAATCTACATGCAAAAAATCAGCAGCGACTGGATAATTTATCCAACTCCAAAGGTATTTTCCTTTCTTTAGCAAAAAGAACCCTGTAAAATCATCATATCCAGAGATTTCAATGATTTTGCATGAAAAAATACCAGACAGTCTCAGTTAATACTGTTGTGTAACATCCCATAAGAGAAGTATGTCCTCCTAGACTCATCTCAAAGAAAATCGTGAAAGTGAACCTGAAATCCACAGTTGTAGTTGTGACAAAAATCCTAGAAAGATCTTTGAGGAAGATAATTAATGGGACTGGAATTAGGTTCAAATTCTGTATCAGTATCTATCGGTCACTCAACTTGTTCCTGCGGAGGAAAGCACACTGATGTCGAATAAGGTCAACTTAGTAAACATATTTTGGAATATTGACCATTCTGTTTATCCGGAGAACAGGAAAAATAACAGCAATCTAATTCTCGGACACCTTGTGTCTTTCGGATGTCCGACCTCTACTAGTAGTTACTCAAGAATTAATTGCACAGTCGCTAATCTCGGTTTCAAAACACTTTGACCATATGACCTATATATAGTCATGTCACTAATAGTTCACGGCCTTAAATCTGTTTTTTGGCCTAAAAGTATGCAGAAACTGGTATCTATTTTTGTAATCTGTAGGAACTCAGCTACAAATTCGCAGTGTTGTATTGCCTTGAAAATTTTGTTATTGCATACAATTTTTATGAGTATGAACAGCCAAATCGGTTTTTTTTTTATCTCTTTTTCCACTATTCCAATTCCTATTTATTAAAAAATGTAAATTTTTCTTGATTCTCACTATTGACAATTATTCTCAGAGTTATTATCATACTGGTGACTAAAAAACAAGTAGTATCCATCAGAGAAACAATATTTTCATGACTACAAGTGTAAAATACCATTGGATGCCAATTCAATAAGACTAGATGAAGATCTGAAAGCCACATATATGCCTCTGCTTTAATGATGACTTTTTTGAAAAGTTCGCAACAATCATTCCTTCCAAATATTATTCAAGAAACCATTCAAAACTCCCTTCATTTGCTCATCACTCAAGGTTACGAACAATATCTTATCTGGTAGTCGTAATGACAAAACAGCAAACTAGCTACAATAAGCTTCTACAGTTAGTGAAGATGATTCGTGTTGGTGTATAGCTTGTAATAAGCCACCTAGTACTGATATTTGTCACGCACTTTGAATAAAAAATCTGAAACTAATACTGAGTCAACAATTTTTGTGTATCTCTAAATTAAATTAGTTCGATAAGTTTCGCTGTGATATTCCTGGAAGAGAATAAACCATTGTTGCTCATAATCTAGTAAATTGTCCTAAATGCACTTTCATCTGAATAACTTTTCATTACATGCACTGAGATAAATATGTATTTTTAAAATGCTATCACTCTGCATCTCATAAATGTAAGAAAAAGTTGCACAGACCATCCAAGCATAAAGATTTTGCTGCTTACCTATGTGGTCATAATGTGGAAGAACACAAATATGAGCAAATACCCTTATTTTCGCTCTTTGATCTCAATACCATCCAGCTGCAGTGGGATCTCAATAGAAAAATCTTCAATTCAATAAAAATGAGGGAAACGATGCAACTAAGATTACAAATGTCAGTCGACCGAGTTACTCAGGTAACATATAAATTGCTAGGTAGTGAGGCTGGTTTGATAGTAGGTTTTTCATGGAGTTAATCGCCCCAAAAGACAGATAGACCTAGCTGATGAGTTCTACACGAAATGGAAGGTATTTTCCCGGCCTCACTATTAGTCAGCTTTAAATACCATCAAAATGAGGATGGATATGCTAATAATATCTTAGCATCTCAAAAGGTTGTCTATATGCAAACAATAGTCCAGTAAACCACTTATGAGGGGCCGAATGGTTCAATGCTGTTTCATGTTCAGTTATAAATGTATGTGTTAGAGACCCGTCTTAAAGTTATCAACTAACATTTAAGAAGTTGCTTCACCCTATTCTTATGTAATTCAGGTTACCAACAAATGTATGCTCTTTAAAGGATTAGCTGGAGCCACGTAAAAGAATATCATCCTTTAACGACGTTTAGTGCTTTATCTACAACAAACCTTTTTCCCCCTTTCAATCCCGTGATAGTAATTTACAGTCTGTATCATTTGAACGTGGAATCACTGCATCAACCGATGAGCTAATTAAAACACGATAACCTAAATATTCCCTACAAAAGGGACCGAGTAAGATAATTATTTTCATCAATGTTCATACACTCTTCATCCACTTATCCACTTGTGACAAAAGGTAAGTACTCATCACGTTTTGATTACAAGTGAATATACTATTGATTCTATCTCATGGTAAGATTTATCCAAGATTGCTATCGTTCATTTCCTTCAATCGATTGAGAACAAAGGCTTTCTTGTTTTTTAAAGTTCAAGGTCCTATCTTCTCTTCGCATTGACCTTATACTGAACTTAAGTTTGTTAAATCTGAAATGCTCAGAATATTCTTTTGAAAATAAACAAATTTCTGTATAGGATATTGATAACAATACAGTCAACATTTTATTCAGTATAATAGAGTATGTAGATTTTAGTTTGTTTCACGGAAATATTTCTAAAGTAGTTATATTGTAATTATTCGAACTTTTTCGAACCTTAAGCCAAAATTTGTCATCAGATAGTAAGTAAAACTGCTATCATAACCTAAATAACGCTCAAAGCTTAATATGGCCACAGATTAGTCGAAAATGGAAAAGTACTCACTTAACTCCGGACATATATATATATATATATATATGATAAACTGGAAAATACTTCCAGCGTTACTCTACTTTTCCGAATCACTAGCATTTGGTGTTTTAAACATAACCTTCATGTTAAGGATGAGAAAATGTCCAGCCAAGCGACATACTTGTTCCATCAATAGTATTCCCGGTTCTCATGTTTTCTTAATCATTTCTTATTTTTGCATAAAATTTCACATGATGTAACATTCACCTGTTTGCGTCTGTATTATAAATCTGCAATTAACTGGATTTTCTATATTTCATGCTAAAACCTTAGGATCTTTGCAAACGATTGACAAATTGTGCGGTACATGTTGACATTTTTCATAGCTTAGTGGTTTTTCTACTACCTAACTGCGGTGTCCAGGTATACTACTGATGAGCTTGGCCCAAAACGAGCTGAACGATATTTCGATATTTATGTCATTATAGTCTTGCTGCACAAATCTAGAGATCATCTTCAACACATTCTGGCTACTCAAGATGTTCAGTGGTGTACTTACTCAGGATATTTCAATGCAACTAATTTTAAGTAAACAAACCTCATTACCATCAGATGTACCCTTTTTACTCTTTTACCTTTACCGGTTGTTATCTGTAGTACTCACTGTTGGTAGTTATTTAGTTCAAGCGCAGAAGTAGTTTTTGCAACTTTTTTTCACGATGATGCAAAACTGATGAGAATTCTGTAATCAAATATGAACATGACTTGTTTTGTGAACATCGTTCCTATTATTTTGATGTAAACTATCTTTCTTGACACTAATTCGAATATCTTTTTTAAGTCTTTGATGAACCTAATCTCTTTTCGTTTAAGAGGGAAAGAAATTTCATCACTAGACTGGATTTATGATGGCCATTGATTATAAGTTCTAGCTTTCGGTATTCCATCTTCACTCTTCTTAATATGCAGTCTAATTATCACTCAGTCATTACAACAAAGGCATTCAACTAATCATTATTATTATTCGTATAAAATGGAGGGTATAACACTGACTGATTTGTACTGAAACATCAGAGTCTATGATCAATTTAGATATATTTTAAGTGTAAACACCTTGTGTTTGCTCAATAATATTTTATACTTTATACTTGTATCAGTAGGATTTATATTCTATGATGTTCACTTATTTTAAGATTTACGATAACAATTATGGATTCTTGTGGTTTCAGTTAACTGTGAGATTTTTATGGAGTTTCAAAAGAACATAACCCATAGTTTTTCGTTGTTTTCCTACAGGTGCATCTCACAGTCCTCAATATGACATTTTCCATGCTGGTGGATATGCAAGTCCAGCAGTGGATGCATTATGCACTACAAGTGATGTTTCTAAGTTGGAGAGTGAATTTCGCAATCAAGCTGGAGAGAATATATTGACTGTTATACGTACAAGGGGAATAGACTCAGTAGCTCCACCAGAACAGAGGTAAGCAATCAAAAACTGAGTATATCTATTGCGATTCTAGGAGAAATAAAGATGTTAGGTTTTATATTGGCTGATACATTTTAAATCTAGTTAGCCTTGTTTTGGTAATAAGTTTATAATTTTCGTTATCCACACTGTTACCTAAACTCCCGTTACCTACGAAATATTTCAGTGAATTCATTCAAAATTTATGCAGTTTAGGAAAAAGGAATATGAAATAGTGAGATTGAAGTTGATGGGATCTTCTGAGATAGGAGCCGCTGGCCTAACGTTTTCAAAAATATTGTGAACGACTGCGAAGAATGATTATCAGTGATCATTCACCTTGTGGAGAATGGTTTGTACTGTCCATTTAAGTCCTCAACAATTAGTGCATAATGTTGATCATGTACTACATTCTGAGCACGCTCAGTTATACAAATATATGTGCATATAGAAAAGTAAGATAAAAACCCCATGTATAGGCTCAGATTTTATCAGACCTCATTGGCAAAGTGTATCCTAACATAAGTGTAAGACTTGTGCACTGTGGTAGGATTTAATGCCATATTGAATTTGTTTACTTGATTTATAATATATAGTGATACAGTATTATTTACTTTTATTAATTTATTTGACGTTTCGAGCATAAATTAGTGTATTTTTGAGATGATTAGGGATTTTTAATTTAGAGGTAGAATTCATCACAGACTGACATCAGTTGAGGGACCGTTGAAAATCTGAGAGTACTAGATAGCTGTTTCGTCCTAGTATGGGAGTCCTCGGCAGTACGCACCCACGACTCGGCTAGAGATCGAACTCAGGACCTTCGGGTTTCACGGCGAACGCACTAAACACTTAGCTGCTGCTGAGGAGTCCCATACTAGGACGAAACAGCTGTTCATTTCTCCAGATGTTTGATGATTCCCCAACTGACGCAAGTCCTTGATGAGTACTACCCATAGCTTATTGCTCATAATCATATCAATATAGACACACTACTATCGACATCTGCTTTTTATAGTCCTGTCACCTCACCTCCTTTATTTTTATTGGCAATAAAATTTTCCATATCTCTAGTGTCGGAGGTGACAGGACTATAAAAAGCAGATGTCGATAGTAGTGTGTCTATATTGATATGATTATGAGCAGTAATTTCTTCTCAGAACGTCAAGTAAAGAATACTTTATCACTGTGTTATAAATCAAATAAACAAATTTAATATGGAGGGTTTATCCGAATTTTCTTGGAAACTGATGACGTCTAGAAGATTTGAGCGCTTTTTTTCGTTATTATCAGATGTAAAATCATAAAATTATATCTCCTTTCACACTCGTTTTCCTGTTGAAAATATGGACACCAGTAATTATTTATAGAAGTATTTATTTTACGCCGAAAAGCCTTTCACTATTAGGTTGACTTGTTATACTTGTCCAGTCCTAAAATTTTATTGGGTATAGTTAAATAACTATCAAGAATATGTAAGCACTTATTCCAAATGCTAGGTCTCAGAGGTATACGTTGAAGTAAATAGGAATCTACTAATAGAAATTTCTTTATATCCCATAGGTTTCGTTCTGCACTGTTCGCTGTCAACAGTTCTCATCACTTGCTATCGTTTTTGACACGCATAGTACCGAGTCCAGATTGGTGTACTGGTTTGTCAAGAGTTGATATATGTTTGCCAAACTGTTCCTGGCCTTTAAGAATGCAATTTCGTTTAGAACCATGGGATGCAGGTGTAATGACTGGTAATACATATATACCGATTGAAACATCAGAAAGATTAAGAGAACCAAAACCAATGTGTCCAATAACACCTGATCTACGACCAAATACACCATTCACTGTTCTAACTGATTATGTATCTTTACCGAATTCCGATTCATTCAGTTTGACAAATCTGAATACAGTTGGTGCAAATACATTTAGAAATCCTAATTTAGGCCTGCCAATGTCGGATCAAATGCATCTTCTAAATATCCCATCAGCCGCAGGACGAATGCGTAGACAATTTGCACGACTTGGTACAGTTGAATTGGAATTATTACGCATAAATGAGGTGAGCATGCTAATTTACCTTTTAGCTAATAATGAAAATTATAGTTCAGAGATAGTCTTCATCAGTAAGTAAACTTACGAATTCTCTAAGAACACATCAACTTTCTGGCTGAATAAATGGTTGTGAAAACTTTGAGTGAATGAAATATTGCTTACATTGAATTTCACTATATATTGTTTAAATTTTCGACAGAAAATAATTATCAGTTTTCAACTTGTATTGAATCGTCCGCTGAACCGGAAGTTAATTAAATTTAGCTAATTATTTCACAACAGAAAAGAATCTGAAAACAAATTGACTCCAAACAATAATAATTTCAGGATGCAAACTTCTAGAAAGGAACTCAAAATATTTGTAGTGACCGACGTCTTAAACGTTGAGGGGGGGAGAAACGTTCTGAATTCTCTAGAAGGACAATAATCATAGATATTTCAATTCTTTGATTAATTTCTTTTGGAACGCATTCAGGAAACTAAAGTACAAGTCGTGAAGTGTTTGTCTAACGCATTGTATATACTTTTTAGAGTTTGGATTTGAAAAATGAAATTCTCTAAAGTTATTTCATAGAAAAGTATACCATTGAGAATTTCTGGAATAGATGGAATGTGTACTGTAGGTTTTGGATTAATTTATTCCTCTGTCAAGTGGAACAGAGCTTTGGGAAAATGATATACAAATCAGTTAGTAAAACAGAAGGCTGTTTTCATTTGTTTTGTTTCTCAGAAGTAACTTTATCTATAAAAAGTTATTTTTAATTTTTCAGACAAACCGGTTTCTTTCAAATGTACAGTGTACATAAGACATTCAGGTTATATAACCAGATACAACATTATAAAATAAAAACTGTAAGGAAAATAATTGTCGTGGTTATAAGGCTTTGCATATTTTCTTAGTGGTTAATTTCAGGCGTACTCTCTTCATGATAATTACGATGCTTAAATAAGTTTGTTCAAGTCAAGTGAATATCAATCTAGATTTCGTTAGTTGGTTGGAAGCAATCTCAAAAAGCCCTGGACCCAAGTTTCGTGCTAGTTGACATTCGTCACCAAGGTGCACCTGAAACCCCGACGGAAATGATCCATGTAACCCACTCCTACAGTCGGTCTATTGCGGCTCGAATAGCTCAGTGATAAAGTCGCTGACTACAACACGGGGTGACGCAGGTTTGAATCTCAGGTGGGACACTAATTCAGCCGAGTCTGCAGATACGCCTTGCTGACGAGTGCCAGCAATCTCGAGACCTAAGTTCAGGGCTTCTTATTGCTTGCCTCCAACCAACTAACATCTACTAATGTGCACTGTGATGTTGAACCTCCTAGCTTGGTGGCCACTTTGCAAATATGATCGATAGGATTCGATCTGCACTCAGTACTAGACAAAATCAAATTGTTTGCTCTCCCGTGACCAGTCAATGAATTTAGCCTTTATGAATGACTTTTATATTCAAAATAGAAAGTGAGTAATATAAACAATCAGAGATACTTGAGTGATGTTATCTGGGATATTTTCGAAACAGATAAGATATAGAATTTAACCGTCTTTCTGTTATCCTGAATCCTAAACAAAGTCTGTTAGCAAACAAGCAGCTTTAGCAAACCTTTTTGAATTGGGAGTTCAATTTGAGTTTCACTGCTGGACATAGTAACTGCAAAGTGTATCAGGAAAACTCCGAATTCCTCAGCCCAGAAGGCTTGAGACTACTCATGGTTTAGATCATAACTTGTCCGTAGGTATGAAAATTGTGTGTATTACTCGCAACTATGTGAAAAGATAACATAGAAAGTGACCAGTAACAGTCTAAATTTTGACATAAGGTAATGGATCGAACTATGAGTGGTGTGATACCTCGTACAAAGCTAATTACCACTGCAATCCTGTTAAAGAGATTAGTGAACACTTAAGAAACTAAAATAACTAAACCTCTTACATTTTATGACTAAATGAAAACGACCTGAATGTTTTAAATGTTATACTTTAATGCAGAACCGAACAAAATAATGACATTTAACTATATTGATTAATGTGAATATCTGATCATATCAGAATCAGTGTTAGTATTCGCCCCTTATCCTATGTAATTTCTCCAACTGTTTGTGAAATATCAAGCCAAAGGATATGATAGACACAAAATCATCGATACGGGTGGTGACTAAAGTTGAAAAAAGTATATTTCGATGCAGCAATGCATCAAGTGGTCACATGATAAGGATTAACCGTTAATCTGTTCTCCCTGATTTACGCCTTTTTACTAATAAAGCACTTGATAGGACATTCACTTTATGCTTTCATTTGCCGACTAAATTTCAAAAAAATTGAATCAGTGAACGGTACACAGGAGCCTCAGGTTTCATGGCCAGTTCTTGGGTCTGATCATTGTTGGAGTGATGATTTCACACTGCTAAGGAGTCCTTTACTGAAACGAAACAGATATCAAGTACTCCCAGGCTTTCAGTCATTCTTCAACTTATTTCGGCACATGATGAATACCAACCTGAAGTGTTTTAGATTGTTGGTTTATTTAAATCATTTGACAACCTTTATTATTCAAATAAGAAAATAATTATAAATACGAAACCAATGAACAAATTGCTTCCATAATGACTACACAAAACAGTACTGTTTTTTTTTAACTAAAGAAAATATTTCTTTAAACAGAGTGCAAATTATTTTCTGTAAAGTTATCCAACTGAATCAAAGCCTATGTGCTAAGTTGGGTTTGGACATGCTGATATCATTATGCTTGGATTGTTTAATATTATCATCTTATAAAAGACGCTTGACAACAAAATCAACTAGTATATTATAAACTAGACTGGTTTCTGATTAGTTTCCACTCATCATTGTTTTTTATTTTAAGTGTTCTACAGAAACATATCACTAACAATACGGAAATTTTCTTTAATTTGCGAAAGCTGCACAATGTACTCACACGTACCAAGTATGAAAGATGTTAATACTCTTCCTTTCTTATAAATCGTTCAAAAACTTGGAAGTGCGTATAAACTACAATTCCAGAGCTTGCAGTTTTATTTAATTGGTTACTGTTTTAACGTGCCGTTTTATGGGCTTGACATTGAAGTGGACCAAATTTCCATCACCTAGCGATGAGGAGGGTCAATGAAAAATTGCTACACCTTCAAAATCATGTATTCGGTAGACGGTTACGTGTTAGTTTGAAAACACATACGTCTGCCTGAGTGTTTATTGACAAACTAGAGCTGCAAGACTATCTACAGCGAAGCTCAATGAATAGGATTCCAAAGCTATGAGACAGTTGCTAGACAGATATCAAACATAACAACGACACTTATGTGGAAGAGGCCTGGTGCCATTTCCAGTCTGCTGTAAAAAGGAGTTACAGACTGCAACTAAATGTGGTAGGAAGGTAAGAACCAGTCAGTAGACTTCAGTGGCTTCCTTAAAAATGATAGAGACACGTGAATCCACTCCTGTAGACTCCAATCAAAATGAGGAGCAGAAGCAACTCAGTTGAAGGCCGAAATGATGAGTAGGCAACGAAAGAAAGAAGTTGTTGGTAGCGAAAGCTGAATAGGTAGACGGTTACAGTAGACACTTTTTTAGATGGATCATGGAAACCTGGACAAAGAAGTCAAACGTTAGTGAGGTTATAGCAGGGAACGGTTGGTCTGTGATTTCCTTGTAGATGAATGGAATTGTGCGCGGAACACTCTGAAAAACAGTTCAACTGGCTTCAACCGAGCCAGATATGATCACCTCTGACTGATCTTGAACACCAGTTGTCCCAGTCCTTGAGAAAAACGAGGAATACTTCCATCATGACCACAGGAATATCAACCTGACTAGCATGCTGTATAAAATCTTAGCTCTATAATCACTTGACGTCCAAGTAAGCGTTAGGAACAACAAACCTATAAAACTTAGGCATTTTTTAGACTTGGTTTGGGCCCTTTGAACAGAATTTCATTCTCTGCTAGGCACTTTTCCTGATGACTAAAAATAGAAGTATGTTTTGAATAATATAAGCATTCTATTCTATTGATGAAAAGGTCTCTCGCTGCAAAGGATAGCAAACAAGAACTTCATTTTGTAGAAGGCTATACATTCAAATACTGATAGGCATGTTATAGCTTATGCTTTCATACCGGCAGATATGCGTAATTAGGGTGGTATTGTCAGGATATCCGTTTGGAGAACACAATAGGGGCCGACCAGGTAAGTGCAGTATAGTAATCTACGTTAAATACAAGCGTCAATAAATTGTTAACACAAAGGAAGTTATTTAATTTGAGATACTTATGATAGTTATACGCCGCTGATACTAAGGGCTTTGTTTTTCCACTGAGATTGATAAAATGCCCTGTAGTGCACTCAAAATGCTGGGCCATTTAGTCGAAGCTACTTGTGACCCTCACCACAGTTGTCCTTAATAAGTGTTGTGCATCCCAACACTCAGTTTATTCTAATAATAGGCTGAAAATTAACTGAAGATCTTCAGTATATGAAATAATATCAATGCGTAAATTCTCCAGAAACAGTTCTTGGTCATGAAGGAAAGTTCAAGTCTTACAGTTATTGCCCACGGATGAGCAGAAATCGGTGGTTTAAGGCTTTGCTGGATTTAGATTCGAACTAACTAATGTGATATGAATGCATCTATAACTTATCTTGAGCAAAATCACTATCTGATAAATCTTTGTTTTAATGTGCTTGCTTTCTCCTTCTTATAAGGTTTTTCACAAATACCAATATAATACTTTAATTCACTTGTCTTTCTTTATGCTAAATTTCATCTAATATGATGTTGTGAATCATGATAGCTTGAATTAGTTTTAGGATTATCATCCTTCACGTTGTCATTATCTGCTTGTTCTGTCCGAAAAGTATGTAGCGAATAAAATGTTACAAATATGTGGTACCAGCCTACCCATCTCGACGATTTCGTGTCCTACGAACTGTTTTACTGTTAAAAGCGTTTTCAGAAGTTTTCTAAAATAGATGAAGGCACTAGTTGTTACATC